CGCAGAAGTCGTTCCAATCTTCAGGGGACATCTCAGCCCAGCCAGTCTCCTGCATGGCTTCGCGCGCGTTGGAGTAATTGTAGACGTGGCGGTCGTTTGAAGAAATGTGAGAGATGGTGGGGCCATGGTGATAATGGACGTTGATGACAGCGTTGTTGCCAACGTTCCAATTCTGCATTTGGGGAGCGTTGGGAACCATCATGTTTTCGGGCTGAAAATTCCATTCTGGCGCGGGTGGGGGAAGCGGGGCGACGGGGAAATGGCCGGCGGGATGGGGAATGGGGTAGTGGTGAGGTGCAGGCGGAAGCGGAGGTGGAAAATGGTGAGGAATTGGTTGCGGAAGAATGAATTCAGGGGGACCCTGCTCAGGGGGACCGGCTGGCGGCTGACCGGCATGTTGACGGGGATCGAATTGCGCGCATGCGTACGGCCAGACGTTGGGGGGCAAGTCCTGACCGAAACCGGAGGCGAGCGTTGAGTCTGGACTGTGCCGGAGGATCTCGTAGGCGAGCGTTGAGCGTGGAGTCGGTCGAAGATGAACACAAGCGGAAAGGGGTCGACTAGTCGAAGGTCATCATGCGGTCGAGCACTGATCCTGCATGTAAGCAAAAAGTTAGTCATGCATACACATATCGATGCATACACACTTAACGTCAGTCGCAGAAACATTATGCACAAAGATATTCATAGCAGGCAGGGTCACAGCGGCAGGGTCACAGCAGGAGGTGCACGGGAAGATGCAAACAAGAAATGGGCTTGAAATTGCATCGGAACTCCCCTTTGGGTTAATTTCGAAGTTCGAAGCATCGATCTTAGAAATCCAGCTTTCTAGGCATTGATTGGCAGTATCTTTTTGACGATGACAGACGACTGAAAACTCGAACGATCTTGGAAATCTGTTTTTTAAGTTTCCGATTGGCTAGTATTTTATAATGTGACTCGCGATTGAAAAGACGATCGACTGCGTTGATGACAGACGATCATCGTAGACATCTTCACCGTTCGCTTCGCCGTTCGCTGACGCGACGGTAGAGATCACCGTGCGCTGACGCGCCGGTTACAAAACAGCCTGAGGTAGGATAGACTGTGATGACATGTCATGTCATGACATTGACATTGACATGACATGACATGACATGACAGCGACAACGTACGACAGCGACAGCGACAGCGATGACGATGACGATGACGATGACGATGACGCTTGACGATCGATGACGATGACGATGACGGTCACGACCATCATCATCATCATCATCATCATCATCATGACAATGAATGAAATGACATGACAGTGACCTGAACCAAATTGCAAAACCAAATTGCAAAACCAAATTGCAAAACCAAATTGCAAAAACGAAATGGGAAGCGGTGAATATATAAACCACGGTCGTAATGGGGGAAACGATGTAATACGGTCGTAATGGGGGAAACGCTGGAATATAACGTTAACCGTTTGTATAAATTATAAAAATGTAATAATTGAATTCTGAAATACAGCAGCGAGAGCATTGTGCAAAAGCGACAGCAGGCGTGAAAACTACAAAAGTGACGTGGAACCTACTAAAGTGACGTGGCAAAAAGTGCCATTTGAGCTCTGAGAGCAGGACTGCCCTACGATCAATCGAGTGATGAGTCGAAGACGTGCCAGCGACAAGCTAGTTATAGACGGCACGTCAGACTACATGCTCTGGACTGCGCCTCCGGCACAGTCCAGAGCATGTAGTCTGACGTGCCTTCTATAACTACCTCTTGTCGCTGGCACGTCATCGACAACCAATGGTGTTTTGCCATTTGTACAATTACAAAAGTCGTATTATCTTAGCTGTCTGATGAACTGTCTGATGTGTCACTGTCACACTGCTCCACATGAGTATAAGTCCAGGTGTACTTCTACAAGTCCAGGTGTACTTGTATAAGTCCAACTGTACATTATACCCCGTGGTGACATGACTGTCACGAGCAGTGATCGAGCGAGACATCAGGCAGAACAGTCAGACAGGCAAGGCAGGGCGACATGAACATTAAAAATAAAATATTTACCATCGGGTGTAAGATCGCAACTTCCATCTCTAGATTTTAGCGAAAGCTATGTAACTGCAGTTAGGGTTTAGCAGAGCGAACAGTCTACTACAGGCTATCAGGCTATGTGAGCGAAGCTAATGTTTTGTAATTGAAGCTAATTCTACTCGCAGAAGTCGTTCCCATCTTCAGGGGACATCTCAGCCCAGCCAGTCTCCTGCATGGCTTCGCGCGCGTTGAAGTAATGGACGTGGCGGTCGTTTGAAGAAATGTGAGAGATGGTGGGGCCATGGTGATAATGGACGTTGATGACAGCGTTGTTACCAACGTTCCAATTCTGCATTTGGGGAGCGTTGGGAACCATCATGTTTTCGGGCTGAAAATTCCATTCTGGCGCGGGGGAAGCGGGGCGACGGGGAAATGGCCGGCGGGATGGGGAATGGGGTAGTGGTGAGGTGCAGGCGGAAGCGGAGGTGGAAAATGGTGAGGAATTGGTTGCGGAAGAATGAATTCAGGGGGACCCTGCTCAGGGGGGCCGGCTGGCGGCTGACCGGCATGTTGACGGGGATCGAATTGCGCGCATGCGTACGGCCAGACGTTGGGGGGCAAGTCCTGACCGAAACCGGAGGCGAGCGTTGAGTCTGGACTGTGCCGGAGGATCTCGTAGGCGAGCGTTGAGCGTGGAGTCGGTCGAAGATGAACACAAGCGGAAAGGGGTCGACTAGTCGAAGGTCATCATGCGGTCGAGCACTGATCCTGCATGTAAGCAAAAAGTTAGTCATGCATACACATATCGATGCATACACACTTAACGTCGGTCGCAGAAACATTATGCACAAAGATATTCATAGCAGGCAGGGTCACAGCGGCAGGGTCACATCAGGAGGTGCACGGGAAGATGCAAACAAGAAATGGGCTTGAAATTGCATCGGAACTCCCCTTTGGGTTAATTTCGAAGTTCGAAGCATCGATCTTAGAAATCCAGCTTTCTAGGCATTGATTGGCAGTATCTTTTTGACGATGACAGACGACTGAAAACTCGAACGATCTTGGAAATCTGATTTTTGAGTTTCCGATTGGCTAGTATTTTATAATGTGACTCGCGATTGAAAAGACGATCGACTGCGTTGATGACAGACGATCATCGTAGACATCTTCACCGTTCGCTTCGCCGTTCGCTGACGCGACGGTAGAGATCACCGTGCGCTGACGCGCCGGTTACAAAACAGCCTGAGGTAGGATAGACTGTGATGACATGTCATGACATTGACATGACATGACATGACATGACATGACATGACATGACATGACATGACAGCGACAACGACAGCGACAGCGATGACGATGACGATGACGCTTGACGATCGATGACGATGACGATGACAATGAATGAAATGACAGTGACCTGAACCAAATTGCAAAACCAAATTGCAAAACCAAATTGCAAAACCAAATTGCAAAAACGAAATGGGAAGCGGTGAATATATAAACCACGGTCGTAATGGGGGAAACGATGTAATACGGTCGTAATGGGGGAAACGCTGGAATATAACGTTAACCGTTTGTATAAATTATAAAAATGTAATAATTGAATTCTGAAATACAGCAGCATGAGCATTGTGCAAAAGCGACAGCAGGCGTGAAAACTACAAAAGTGACGTGGAACCTACTAAAGTGACGTGGCAAAAAGTGCCATTTGAGCTCTGAGAGCAGGACTGCCCTACGATCAATCGAGTGATGAGTCGAAGACGTGCCAGCGACAAGCTAGTTATAGAAGGCACGTCAGACTACATGCTCTGGACTGTGCCGGAGGCGCAGTCCAGAGCATGTAGTCTGACGTGCCTTCTATAACTACCTCTTATACTGTCTTGAAAGACTATATACACTGAAAAGTGAGTAAATATCAATCTCTCTGAAGCTCAGTAGTCCTGATTCGCATTGATATCCCTAGGTCACTGGTTCGGTTCCGGTCGGAGAGATGCGCACTCATAGCTCAGTTGGTTAGAGCACCCGTTTAGTAAGCGGGAGGTCCCGAGTTCGATTCTCGGTGCGTGCATTTACATCACTATGGACTACATTTTGGCACATCCGGATTCGATGACGAGGCCTCGTGTCGCTGTCGTCGTGTGGTGCAGCGAGGGGCTCTCGCGCTGTGCCACGTCCGCCATTGTTTTGTAGTGGGAGGCGCAATTATACTGTCTTGAAAGACTATATACACTGAAAAGTGAGTAAATATCAATCTCTCTGAAGCTCAGTAGTCCTGATTCGCATTGATATCCCTAGGTCACTGGTTCGGTTCCGGTCGGAGAGATGCGCACTCATAGCTCAGTTGGTTAGAGCACCCGTTTAGTAAGCGGGAGGTCCCGAGTTCGACTCTCGGTGCGTGCATTTACATCACTATGGACTACATTTTGGCACATCCGGATTCGATGACGAGGCCTCGTGTCGCTGTCGTCGTGTGGTGCAGCGAGGGGCTCTCGCGCTGTGCCACGTCCGCCATTGTTTTGTAGTGGGAGGCGCAATTATACTGTCTTGAAAGACTATATACACTGAAAAGTGAGTAAATATCAATCTCTCTGAAGCTCAGTAGTCCTGATTCGCATTGATATCCCTAGGTCACTGGTTCGGTTCCGGTCGGAGAGATGCGCACTCATAGCTCAGTTGGTTAGAGCACCCGTTTAGTAAGCGGGAGGTCCCGAGTTCGACTCTCGGTGCGTGCATTTACATCACTATGGACTACATTTTGGCACATCCGGATTCGATGACGAGGCCTCGTGTCGCTGTCGTCGTGTGGTGCAGCGAGGGGCTCTCGCGCTGTGCCACGTCCGCCATTGTTTTGTAGTGGGAGGCGCAATTATACTGTCTTGAAAGACTATATACACTGAAAAGTGAGTAAATATCAATCTCTCTGAAGCTCAGTAGTCTTGATTCGCATTGATATCCCTAGGTCACTGGTTCGGTTCCGGTCGGAGAGATGCGCACTCATAGCTCAGTTGGTTAGAGCACCCGTTTAGTAAGCGGGAGGTCCCGAGTTCGACTCTCGGTGCGTGCAGCTTTCAGCAGCCCCAACGCAACAGTCCCAAACGCCTCAACGCAACATTTTCAGTAGCCCTAACGCAACATTCCCAAAAGCCCCAACGCAACACTTTCAGCAACCCCCCCGCCACACAACAACAAAAGCCCCAACTCCACATTTTCAGCAGCCCCATTGCAACAGTCCCAAACACCCCAACTCCACAGTTTCACCATCCCTAAACGCAACAGTCCCCTAACACCCCAACTCCACAGTTTCACCATCCCTGACGCCCCATTCCCAAAAGCCCCAACTCTACATTCTCAG